AAGCAAATTTGTGTGTGATCATATTTAGATGAAGTGGTTGAGATCCAATAATTATTGTACATCATTACTAATTTTATGTCACATTAGCGACCTCAAACCTTAATTTTATGTAAATTGGCGAAGGATTTTTTCCAATTGGTCCACTTGTTCGAAGTAGGGATCCTATCCCAAACAAATTACAAATTAGTTTATTTTGGAAAGATTATAAATTAGAAAATAATTAGTCATATAGATCAACGGTTTATTATGAAGTCAAGAATATTAAAACACGATCAACCATAATACAAGAAATTTATATAACATTGATTGAATGGCCTTCCTGGCCACCGTCATCAGCCTCTTCTCGTTGTTGGTAGGCAAATGAGAATCTTTATCTTTCTTCTTGTTATCACTTTACCTTATCTGTAGCAGCTATAGTTGAGGTTGTGGGAGGGGGAGGAGAGTGGTTCGAGGTTGGGACCATTATCCCCAATCTCGACCTAGGGTGCCTGGATCAAGGAGAATGAAACATCCCTAATCAAAACACTTCATATGAATGTCTTGAGACTAGTGAGAGATTTGAGGATTTATGAGTTAAAACTAACTAATTCCCCACATGTCATCAAATTTTAACATGTTATCTCCATCTCATACATCAATATTTAGAAATAAATTAATAATTTCCACGTTTCTTCAAGTACATCAAAACCCAAATTTCTTTCCACAAAATTCATTTAACACGTTGAGGAAAAGGATCGTCTCAACTAAAGACGAATTGAAATTAAATGGTCCTGTTGCTGGCTAATGAAGTCAGCTGACATAATTCTCAGTACAGTTAGGTGAAAGTTTACTGAACTTGTATAATTAAGCCACCGAAATAGAGGTCTTGTTGTCAGGGGCAGATTTAGAATTATGGTTTAGTGGGGTGCAAGACACAATTACGTAAAAAAACTATTTCAAATAAGTTCAGAAGGAAGCCAAAAAAAATCTGAAAATTTGAATTAAAAAGAGCTGCATTCGAAAATCAATTGGGCACCCACTCGTCTCTTCATAGGTCTGCCCCTGCTTCTTGTTATATCTAAATATAATGAAAGAACCCATTCCTATCAAAATTCCGACAATGGACATCCAATCAAGGATCTTACAAAAGAGCCTTCTTTCTCTGAGGCATCAAACTCTTTTACTGTATATATTCATCGTTTCATAGTACTTACTATTTAATTTTATTTAAGCTGTAACTATGACACATTATGGTTTGCTAAAAGAAAACAAACCTTTCACGAATTTTCAGATCTTTCTCTCGACAGAGTGGCCGTATGAGATTGGACAAAAAATGAAAATAAGCTAAAATTTAGTTGTCTACTGTTACAACTTCTCAAAATTACTATGAGAATCAGTAGTTTAACCTTATCACACAGCACATTCACGATTAGTTTTGTAGGGTTTGAAAGACTTAAGGAAGAGTACGAGCTATGTCCCGATTTCAAAGACATTTTTCTTGCTTTGCAAAATGGGGAGTTGGACACCACTGATGGTTTTCGATTGGAGGAGGGCTATCTTTTTAGATCCAATAAGTTGTGCATCCCAAGGACTTCAGTGCGAGACTTTATAGTCTGGGAAAGTCATGCTGGTGGGTTGGCTGGACATTTTGGGCGTGATAAGACTATAGAGGAAATTGAGCGTCAATTCTATTGGCCCAGTTTAAAGACCGACGTGGCCAAGATTGTCGGTACATGTAACACCTGTCAACGATCTAAGCACAAAAGGCAGAACACAGGCCTCTACACTCCTCTCCCCGTCCCTAGTTGTCCTTGGCAAGACGTTAGTATGGATTTCGTGCTAGGGTTGCCACGTACTCCAAAGAAACACGACTCCATTTTTGTTGTCGTAGATCGCTTCTCAAAAATGGCACACTTTATTCCCTGTAGCAAGACTTCCGATGCATCTAAGGTTGCTAAGTTATACTTCCATGAGATCGTCAAGCTGTATGGCCTCCCTAAGACCATTGTCTCGGATAGGGATGTTCGTTTCACTAGCCATTTTTGGCGAACCCTATGGAGTATGGTTGGCACTAAACTGAAATTCTCTACCGCATATCATCCACAAACGGACGGTCAAACTGAGGTTGTTAACCGCAGTCTTGGTAATCTATTAAGATGTCTAGTCCAGGAAAATCTTAGGAATTGGGACTTAATTATTCCTACTGCCCAACTTGCATATAACAGTTCAGTGAATCGGTCTATAGGTGTGAGTCCTTTTGAGGTTGTTCATGGTTTTAAGTCTAGGAAGCCATTGGACCTTATTCCTATGTCTCCACATGCTAGTGTGTCTGTGTCAGCTGAGTCTTTTGCACAACATCTGCGTGACTTGTATATTGAGATCAATAAACAGCTAGAAGCGAGTAATGCATTATATAAATTTCGAGCTGATTTGCACAAACGCCATGTTGAATTTAATGTTGGGGATTATGTTATGATTCGAATTAGACCGGAGCGGCGTCCATCTGGGCCTGCTTCCAAATTACAAGCTCGTAGTGCTGGTCCTTATAAAATTTTAAAGCGTGTTGGTCCAAATGCTTATGTCATTGACTTACCCTCACATTTTGGCTATCACCCTACCTTTAATGTTGAGGACTTAGTTGCTTACAAAGGCCAATTTCACCCCGCTGATGATCCATTCACACCTCCATCTCTAAATCCTCATCCTGAAAATGTTATCCCTGCACCAATCCCACCTACTGCAGCACATAAAGATAAAATTGATGTTATTCTAGATGCACAGACTATATTAACTAAGGATGGAGACATTCAACGCTTCCTTGTTCGTTGGGAGGGCCGTCCTGATACCGATTGTACTTGGATCTCCAGCGAGACACTTCAACAACTTGATCCTGATTTGTTGGAGCATTATAGGAGTCAACAAGATCTTCCCTTACCCGGACCACCACCCTTGCGTGTCTATGGACGTCGAAAGAAGTTTGCTCAACCGCTCAGTTTGTGGCTAGGAGATTGACAGCAGCCTTTGTGATCTACCTCCTCGACGGGGTCGAGTTTTTCTCCCACCCCGGGAGAGTTGATGCGGACATCATCCTCATCGGGCCACTTGTTGGGCCATTTTATCTTCTATGTACTTATTTTAGGTTTTATGTTTTATTGGGCTTGTATATGGGTTTGGCCCAAGCCCAAGTTTATTAATTTGGTATTTATATTATTGTAATTGGATTGAAATGGCAGTTTTGATGAAATGAAATAGATGTGGTGATATCGTTTCTCTCCTCTCCTCCCTTCCTCCTTCAGTTTGTTCTTCCTCTTCTTCTTTTCTCCTTGGCCAATTCTACATCAGTAGAAACAATGCAACAAAACCTGCAATATTACATAAAAAGTGGTTAACTGTACAAATAGCATTACAGATGATGCTTGCATCTCTCAAGCTACCCGTACAACGGATCTTGCTATATATACATCAAGATTTATATAATAAATTACATAATGTCACATGACACTCTACTATTTGCTAGTTTAAAAAACACAATCAACTTTTTCATTTCATCCACATCATATTATGTAATCCATTATGTACAATTTTTATATACAAGTAGCAAAATTCATCACATAAATAGGCATTGAGATGTGGGTAAATCACATAAAGTCATGTAAGGCATGGAATCTGAGCATCCAATTGGAATTAAAAATGATTCTGTTCAAACTGGGAATTAGATTTTCAATCCAGTTCTAAAAACCCAACCCATTATTCCATATTTATCATCAAAATAGAGACAAATTCATTGTACTGTAACTAAAAGAACCAAAGCAAGCTGATAAACTGAGTTACTCTATCTTCCTAAATATGTTTGGCCTCTCTCTCTCTCTCTCTCTTCCTAGTACACAAATCAGAGTCATTAAAAGGATCCTCTTAAGTCTTACCTACTTAGAAATAAAAGTTTGCTTCTTTTTTAGGCTTGGATAAACATGCTTATAGTAGTAATATCTCCAGAATACTTAGAACGCTAATTTTTATACACAAAAAAACCCTGCAGCCCATAAAAGAATTTAATCAGATCAAAATCAACGGTGATCAATTTTCAACTATTCACAAGTAGTTGCCTCAAATTCAAAGCATAACTTTTTCCTCACAAGAAAGGAAGAGGTGTAGAGAAGAATTTCTATGTAAAGAACTAGGTGAAAGACCATTAAGTATTACAATAAAGAGTTCTTTCTTGCTCAAATTTGAAACTACATATCAAAAAATGCATATAAAAACAAAACATTTAAGATATAAATATAAGGCCTCAGTACATAAGATCAGCACGTTACTATAACGAAAATTAAGACCAAAATTTACTAGTTTAGCACCAATGTTGATACAAAATTCAAACAAAATACAACGTATGAATTATAAGTGATCGAACAATTTCCATTTTGATTTTAACGTTTAGTCAAAATACAAATACAACAAGACGATATTACGGAAAAAAGATTAGATCTTTGTTTCGATTGTTATAATCCAATTACATAATGAAAAATGAAAAACGATAGAAGACCTTGGTTTTGGTCTCAATTTTGACATCGAGAGAATTGATCCTGGTGGAGAGAATCCCGGAGAGGCATTCTCCGGCAAGCGGGTTGAAAAAGTGGAGCCCCGGCTCCGCCAGCCGCTGGAACCGCCCCCACTTCTCCACCACCCCTACGCTCGCCTGATCAACGCACCCGCAAAGAACGCATGAAGAGTTCCCCATTTCTATTGCCCTGCACAGATTCCGCTACTCAAATTGATTCCACTCTATGGAATTTCTGAAATGAAGAGAAAATCCTTTGAGAAGCGGTTTTGTATGTTCTGGGTGAGGCCACGATTGGAGGACTACGTCGTTTTTGGGTGTTTTGCTTTGAAGAAATAACACGAGAGTCAAGGAATTATAATTTTTAGTGCTATTTGTGACATTAGAAAAATATCAGAATCGAACCAATAAGGCCCATTAGTTTAAGGGTTCATTGGCAAAATTATTGGGCTTGCCCAAGCTCCATCCACAGCTGTATAATAAAGTCCAGTGCTCAACTTCTTTAGGAGCTAGGGTTTCTGGCATTTGTTTTGCATTAGAAAGATATTATACACACACGGCCGCGCCACCTCCGCCCGAACATTCTCAGCCACCATGGGTCGTATGCACAGCCGTGGGTATGTTGGCTTTCTTTCCTTTCATCTATAATTTAAGTATCTGTATTTTTGAATTAAGTGTAATTCTGTTTTTCCGGTGATTCTTAATTTCAGTAAGGGTATTTCAGCTTCAGCCCTACCTTATAAGAGAACTCCTCCCAGCTGGCTCAAAATCGCCGCTCCAGATGTAAGATATTTGTCCAATTTTTTGTTAATTTTTTGTATTATTAGTTTATTGTAGGAATTTATTTATTTTGAAATAATTTTTAAGGTTGAGGAGAATATTTGCAAGTTTGCAAAAAAGGGTTTAACTCCATCGCAGATTGGTGTAATCCTTCGTGACTCTCACGGAATTGCTCAGGTGAAGAGTGTCACCGGAAGCAAGATCCTTCGTATCCTCAAGGGTCACGGTATTGATCATTTTTGTAATCTCTTTGTCGATTTAATTTTTTTGACAAAGAAGATAACGATGCTGTACTTTTGTATGATTTTTAAATAGGGCTTGCACCGGAAATTCCAGAGGATCTGTATCATTTGATTAAGAAGGCAGTCGCAATTAGGAAGCACTTGGAGAGGAACAGGAAGGACAAGGACTCCAAATTTAGGTTGATTCTGGTGGAGAGCAGAATTCATCGCCTTGCCCGCTACTACAAGAAGACCAAGAAGCTCCCGCCCGTGTGGAAATAGTAATTGCCTTTCCTTTTCACTCTAATTTTACTAACATTTTTCTGCAACTATTCTGAATCGATTGCTCGGCTTCTGAACATATATTTGTTTCGATCTATATGTGTTTTTTATACCTTCTTTTCATTATCATTAGATGAACTAGTAATATTTGATATCAATTCGTTTGGAGGATTTGATGAGTCTCAAGCGAACTAAAGAAGATAAAATTTAAGAGATGAAAATTATACTCTCGAAACAAAACTTCTATGATTTAAATTTTTTGTGATGATGAAATACTACAAATGAGCAAACTTTTTATACTATATTTGGTACATAAGAATTAATTGTTAACATATGAATTTAAACACTTATTAAAATTCCTAGATATATGAATAGAATTAAATTCATCTATAATAATTTTAGATTTATATATATCAAGATTCATTGAATTTAGATTAATTTGAATGTTAATTAATAGCATGAAATTCATACATGGGAGGATTTGATGAGTCTCAAGAGAAAATAAAATTTAATATAGAAATTTAAGAGATGAAAATTATACTCTCGAAATACAACTTCTATGATTCAAAATTTTATGATGATGAAATACTACAAATGAGCAAACTTTTTATATCATGTTTGGTACAGAAGAATTAATTGCTAATGTATGAATTTCAACACCCATTAAAATTCCTAGATATGTGAATAAAATTTAGTTCATCTATAATAACTTTATATTCATATAGATTCACAATATTAAGTCAAAATTCATTGAATTTAAATTAATGTGAATGTTAATTAATTGAGAATTAAAAGGACGAAATTCATACATGGGAGGATTTGGTTAGTCTTAAAAGAATTAAAGAAAATAAAATTTAGGATAGAAATTTAAGAGAAAAAATTGTACTTTCAAAACTCAATTTCTATAATTCAAGTTTTTTGTGATGATGAAATGTTACAAATGAGTAACATTTTTATACATTTGGTATATAAGAATTAATTGCTAATACATTGCTAATACATGAATTTAAATATTCGTTAAACCCCTGCTTGGCCCCATTACTTGAAATTTTAGTGGTCGGAATTTTATTTTTTTAAGAATGCTTGGTTAAAAAAGAAAAAGTTTAGGAATTACGTGTAATATTATTTTATTGGAGAATGTCTCTTTGATAAGAAGCGTAAAAAATAAATTATTGCCCCGTTTGTTTCCCATTTTCGGAAGAATGATAATGAAAAATATAGTCGTTACGGGCCCCACACAAGAGATAAAAGTTCAAATTTGGTGACTTGATATGATGAATAACGATCATATTTTTTACTTTAATGAAAAAAGAATAGGAAACAAACGGGGGCTATAATTATAATGAGATCCAAACATAGGCTAAAAATTCTAGATACATGAATAGGAATAAATTCATCTATAATAACTCTAGATTTATGTAGATCAAGATTCATCAAGTCAATATTCATTAGATCTTAGATTAATGAGAATGTTAATTAATTGAGAATTAATAGCACGAAATTTTTATATAACAAAGATTTTGTAGTATTTATTATATATTGAAAAATGAAAAGTAAGTTATTACTAAAATAATTGAATTATAGTAGGGTTAAAATCGTTCAAAAAATATTCTCAATATTTATCTCTTGTTTGATCCTTTTTTTTTCAAAACCTATTTTTCTCTCTTCTTTTCAATCACACATTTTTCAATGAACTAATATTACGCGTGAATCCAAAACTTTTCTTTATTTTTTAACAACACATTCTCCATCAACCTAATATTCCAAAATGCATTCTTAGCAAAAAAAATGGGGCTCAAACGGGCGCTTGATATATTATAGATATAATCTGTTTGCCTCGAATAAATTTGTATAATGTTGAAAGTTTTCATTGCTTTGCTCTGGTCCCATCATAGTATTTTTACTAGTGTTTGCGCAGAATGACAAGATTCTTGTTTTACACATGAACATTCTTATGATTTAGCTTTCCCTAGTAGATTCTATTCGGTTTTAATTTTGATTGTGATTTTGATTTTGATTTTGATTTTATCTTCTGGATACATTCATGTGAATGAACCAATATAGTAGGTGTGATCTACCTCGCTAATTTCATGTTTCTGTTGAGCATGATTTCGGGGTGGTTAGATTGACTGAAATAGATGATCATTTATCATTAATCGAATGGCCCTAGTTATGTGCTTTTATAGTTTTGATGCTGTATGTCAAGGTCGAATGAAACTGTGTACTTTTAAGTTCATTGTGTGGCTGAATGTTCTACCACTACAAAAGAATGTGTTAACTTTCTTGAAGCAAATGCAAGAATTATTGCATGGGCTGAGAGCATCTCCAGGAAGACGAACAGTATAATGGGACTTTACAAAATAAAATTCTAGATGCTTACCCTTGTTTAATTTGGCTCAAAACCATAGTTTTTAGTAGATTTTGATAAAAGTTGATGAATTGTGTAGTTGAAAAGTTGATAAAAGTTGTGGGGTCTCACATTTTATTGTTTTAAATGAGTTCGTGGAAAAATGAGTTCTAAAAAATTGGGGCCAATCAGGACTCAATGTGATTTGTTAGGCTTAAAGCCTTCGGTACATCATGACAAAACTGAGTGCATGTGAATTGAGTAATCAGCGTTATATACCTGGAAATGTAAGTTCTACACCTCGTATCTTTACCTTATCACTTATAGTGGTTAGAAGGCTGGAGCTGCCTTTTATTTTCTGGGTTTATGATGACACGTTTGTTCCTCAATTTCACTATCATCTTCATGTAATGTTCTTGAAAATCGTTAACTGGAATCTCTCTTATTTTGCAGCGAGTCTACCACTGCCAGCACACTTGTGGCGTAGGTGATTTTCGTCATCAGTTTTGAATGACCGTGGAGATATGGATGCTGTTACGGTCTTGTTCATTGTTGGCGATTTTGATTTTGACTTTCCTTAGTTTGCAAAAATATGTTAAATTAAAATGTTTTGTCTTCATTTCAGTATGTTATTTGAAAGCATGCTAAATTAGAATTTATGTTTTCATTTCAATATGTTAATTGATCGTGGATGAAAAATTTATAGATCCTTTTTGCTTTCGTGCTTTCTAATTATATTCTTGGATCAAGTCGGTTTGATTATGACATTTTATTTTGACCTGTTTCGACTGGGTCACACAGCTTCAATTTAGTTTAAAATTTGCGGATTCGTGAAAATTACATAATATTAGGGGTTTAAACATCACAATTCAAAAACTAATGTTGAAGTTTTATTATTTAGAAATTAGGTATTGATTTAATAATTTAAATATTAAATATTTTACCCAAATTCAATTTCAACCCTAATTGCTCTCTCTCTGCCATAAAATGCCATTGTCACCATGCGCTCTGAAGCAATCTCATTGACAGTTATTCTGTTTGTTTTCTCTGTGTTGTAAGGTGTAGGCAGGTTGGTATTGGTCCTTTGCTCAGCTTTTGTCGGTTGATGCTATTGTGAAAGGTAGTGTTGCGACGGTATGTTGTGATGTGGTGGTATGGTATGGATTGTGTGGTATGGTGTGGTGATGCGGTTGAACGATCAAATGTAGGAGTTTGATGTGGTGGCGTTGAAGTTTTTGGGGGCTGGTTTTTGTTGGTTGTAATTGCAGTTCGTGGTGGTGGCAGTGGTGTGGTGTGGTGTAAGTGATGGCTGTGGTGGCCAGCGTTTTTTGGTCGGTGTTCGTTGGAGGTTGTGGTGGTGGGGCATTGTTGGGGACGTAGGGGTAGTGGTGATGCTGGTGGTGGGTAAGGGCGTCGAGGACGAGATGGTGGTCGATGGTTGTGTTGTGTTGTGGTGCAGTCGATCGTGTTTTGGTGGTCATTTTTGTTGTTTTTGGTGGTGGTGGTGTTGTGGTGGGGATGAGGTGTAATAGTGACTGTAACCAACTATTTAGTTGCTCTACGACCAAGTATTGGTGGCGAATTGGGATTGGGGGTGGTGTTCTTGGTGCATGTGACCAATGATTTGGTCTTTGGCCTTTAAAATTCGATAATCTGTGACTAAAAAAATAATAATCTGTAACTAATAAATTCAAAAATATGTGACCCATCAATGGGTCAATCCCATGTCCCCCAGCTGTAACCTGGAAAGTCTTAGCGTCAGTTTTGGTACCGCAAGGGTTCTTGTTATTTCAATATCATCATCGTGGTGAGACGAATAATGAAATGGCATTTGAATCGCCTAGCTCTAATGAATTCCTTCTTTCGAAAAAATATATTCTTAATTATTGATTTAACATTATTTCAATCACGTTCTTTAATAAAATAATATTAGAAACAAAGTCAAAAAATTTTCTTATTTTTGAACAAAATATTTTTCATGAAGATACTATTCAAAAATACATTCTCGTTGAAATAATGTGGCTCAAACAAGAGCATATTGAGGTTGTTTGAGCCCCATTTTTCTCAATAAAATACATTTTGAATAGTGTTATGATAGAGAATGTGTGGTTAAAAATTAAGAAAAAGTTTTGAATTTGCGTGTAATATTATTTTATTAAAAAATATATGATTGAATGATGTCAAATCACTATTAAAAAATGTATTTTGAAGAAAAAATGGAGCTATGTGCAGCCCAATAAATGTTTAGATCTCTAAACATATATATTTTAGAGGCCCAGTAAGTTATTGATTACGATAATCAAAGGGATTAATACATAAGTCCTAGTTATAAAGATTACATTTCATAAATAACAAAGCCATCAAAATATTTCAAAAATCAGGTGGTAAATAAATTTATTAAATATTAAATTATAATATAATACAAATTAATTATTTCCACCCCATGCCACCTAACCCTATTACACCAACTTCCCTCCACTTCTCCATCGGAGATGGTCATTGACTCCAACGACCACTCCGACAGTCATTCCGGCGAATGCTCCGGAGACCACTCCATCCTACCCACCTCACCACACCCCGCAATCTAAAAAACTCAAATCTCTCTATACCCTCACTCCGATAGACCTAACCCCCACCCTATCTCTCACTGTAGAAAACTCCAGAAATTAAAAATATTCTCTCTAAATAAACTCTCTCTACGCACATATATTGACACAAATAACTTTACAGTTGGTGGTAGTGGTGGTGGAGAGGTGGCACTATATTTAGAAAATAGATCTGTGTGGTAGGGTGATCGCACATTGCAGGTTATGATGGTGGATTGCAATTGATTGTTTAATGATGGTGATGGTGGTGATGGTGAGTTGACGAGATTTGTGACTAATTGTGTTATATGTGACCATATTTATAGTTTGTGACCATACCTGTCTTATCTGTGACTAATTGTGACCATACCGTCTATGACCAATCATGTGTCATTTGTAACTGTATGTGAACAAATCATTGACATATGTTATCTATGACTAATTGTGACCAAATTTTTATTTAGTGTGACTATCTATGACCATATTAGTCCAAATTGTGACTCTCTGTTAATCTGGTTACTAACGGTCATAATAAAAACAAAATTGGTCACGTCCGATCACAATAAACACATTATAGATCACAGAAGGTCACCACAAACAAATTTGCAACATCAAAGACCAACACCACAATGCACCACAACAACACCTTCAACGCAAGTCTACATTCACCTCAAA